ACCGCCGGTGTTCAATGAAACGTAATCGACTCAAGGTCACGAGCTCCCCGCCGCACGTACTCTGTATTTTTTTTTACTTTACTCGGCCTCTGGTCGTGCTTAGCATGACATCCACATTCAACTGCGCACAAAGACGTTGAGGTGATTGCAGTTCGGACCTTTGGGGGCAATTTGAGTCGTAGTCAGGCATAATCCCTGGACGCCACCAGGTGGCGCACTTACGCAGGGAATATTTTTTATAAAGCTTCGGATATTCGGGCTGAACTGTAGCTCATTAGTCCGGAGTTTAAAGAGCTCGCCCCCCCCGCCCCCCTTTTTGTTTTGTATTTGAGCCACTTTAATTCAATTTAAGGCTTTAAATGTACAAACATTTGAGAATTGAAAGCGTTGTGGACCCAATTTAACTCGTATTGCGCGCTGGCTCAGAGCCGCGAGCCCCCTTCCCGCCGAACCCTTAAACAAATCTCTCCCGGGCGCATTCACAGTTAGAGTGACAATTGAATAATACTATACTAATTTACATTTATAAAGCACCCTTAAACAACTAGATAGGCCACGTCACTGTCCCGGTGTGGAGCCGGTGACATGAATTGTCACGTAAATTGTGTCTCACCCGGACGGAATGATATTGGCAGCGCATGCTCACACCAAGCTCGTGCTGCTCGTGCGTAGCTCACCCTGGCCCCCGTGTGCGTTTTGTAGCCCCATCGGCATCGAGCGCTGCGCATGCCGTGATCCCGGCGGCGCATGTTCTGGTGCTGCGGTGCAACATTGCGCTCCAGGTGTTATAGTCCTCTGCATTGGAGAATAATTGGAAGACGATAAAAGCAATTAATGTGAGTCTATGAGTGTAAAAAACCAAAGTCAGTGATTTTTTGAGCATGGAGGCAGTGACCGTCTCCCGTTTACAGCCATCAACCACGAGTGGAAATTACACATTCCTGTGGCAGGGGTGAGTATCTGTAGGACAACCACTGTTGACTTCCTCCACCAAGTTATTTACAGTATCATGGGGTGCCACGGTGGCGAGATGTTAACTACCTCGCCTGGAATACAGAAGGTTGTGGGTTTGATCCTGACCCTAATACCTGCTTTATATTTGGAGTTTGCATGTCTCTCTCCCCGTGGTCGTGTGGATTTTTCTCCGGGTCCTCCGGTTTTTCCCTCCGCATTTAGAATCAACATCACGCGTTTAGAGTGTTTGGCTGCTATAAATTTCCACGTGATAAGATATCATTTGTGGCCAGGTCGCTTCTGAAAAAGAGCTACATAGCTCAGTGGGCCTTACTTGGTAAAATAAAATTATTTTTTATTGTTTAATTGTTTTAAGTGGTGCCTATTTTATCGCCCCCTGGAGGAATGATGAGGCCGAGTTAACCCCCAACCAGGAATTGAACTCTCGAGAGTTTTGTTTGGGAGCTGCTCGCCCGAGCACCGAGCCTTCTTTTAACGATGCCTGTGAACGACTCTGGTGAGAGCGTCATCTCCTTTGCCTGACTCCCAATTCTAATTTGTGTGATTTTATCTGAAAATTGGATCGGAGCAGCAAAGGCGCGGATACAAACGGGAAAAAGAAATATCAACCGTCTCCGATTTGCCGATGACAATCAACAAAGGCGCTCGATGCAAATCAACTACGGGGCAATCGAGTTTAACGTGAGCGTAACAAAAGTAATCTAACAACAGGTTTGCGAAATTATTTTAAGATAACTGTAGGAGGATGCACAATTGGAAAGCACATGACAATATGTACGATTTCATTATCCTCTGCTAGGTGTGCACCATCTAATTACTTGTGTATTTATTTACGTGTGTGTGGCTGGGTGTGATGTTTATTATGGTATACGTGACATTTACGTGTACACGTACACTCGTCGTTATGGGTTTGCCGTGTATCCGTTGCATGACGCCCTCTGGACGCTCCTTGTCAAACGACATTTTCCCCATCTCAAACAATGAAACAGAGGAGGAAATAAAGGTAGCCGTGGCCTGTTTATGGTTGGGGGTTGTACAGACGGTCAGATGTGCATTGCGCGCGGGGGATTGAAACGAAGGCACGACTCAAATACTATCGGGTGTTATTTCCGTTGCCAAACAACATCGATCGACACTAGTGCAGCAGTTTAGATCTTCTGTGGTGGAAGAAAGAAAAAAAGCAACCTTCCATTCATTATCAACACAGCCTTCCCTGACTCTAGCTCCAAGGCACATCATTATGGGTTTCCCCCAGTGTGTGCTCTGTTACTTAGGCTTAACGTGGGGGGAGCAAAGCTACCCCCGTGCACCGAGTGGCGTTATGCGGTAGCCGGCCTTCTCTCACTTTGTCATTGAGGGCGATTGGAGTCACGGCGAGCCCCGCTGGGTTAGTGTAAAACCTCGCTGCGCAGGTAGTGTGTGTGTGTGCAGTGCCATTGCCGCATCCGCGGGGGTCGGGAGACCGCGACATCGCCGTGAAACCGGAAGTCGTCGTTTCCGCAAGTTGTAGTCATAATTATGGCGGCTGGAATAAAACTAATAAAACAGTTATTGTTAGAGGAACAACAACCGGGAAAGTCGCGGGAGAATACGCGCAGCGCTCGGGCGGTTATTGAAGGCGGTTCAGGATTAATTTAAAGCAAAATAGAAGGCAAACATGGGACTTGATGATGAAATGCGCCATATTGACGTGCAGAAACGTTTTTGGTTACCGCTAATTACCTGCTACAGTTTATGGATCGGCGAAGCATGGAGATTGGCAAAGGGAAATGGAAGCGAAGTTGAAAAGTGCAAAAATAATCATGGGGGATTGTGCACGGTCGGAATTGCGCTGAGAGAGGACAGGGCGAGGAACGAAATTAATTACCTTCATCTTATCGAAATTTACATAGCGCCTTTTTTCCAAAGTGCCTCTTGCAGCGATTATAAAATTGTACATAAGACGACATAAGACGACAGTGGGTTTAAAAAGTGGTGGTGTAGCTTTAGTGACAGCAGAAAAGGTGCTAGCGAGTGCAGGACACATTGAGCAGGACACATCGAGCAGGACTCATTGAGCAGGGTACATTGGGCAGAGCACATTGAGGTCACATTGAGCATGACACATTGAGCATGATACATCGAGCAAGACACATCAGGCAAGACACATCAGGCAGGACACATTGGGCAGGAAACATTGGGCAGGACACATCGAGCAGAAGGGATGTGGGCACAGTAGAGACGGCGTCATTGAGAGGGCGATCGCGCACCGCGATGCTTTCAAGTGCAGGAGTGTAAGGGCATTTGGGGCAGTGCAGAACTGTGAAGGGTTAGTGATGGCATGGGGGAAACCTCTATCCAGCAGTGGATAGAAATGGCTGGTAATGGTGATGTCGTGTTATTATTTGTTTCTCATGATATATTTATTTTCCACATTTGTTTACAAACTGCAAGAACTGTCGGTGGTGCGTCTTTAATAAAATTAGAAAAATTAATAAACTTCAATCCGATGTCCGTTCATCAGTGGCAACATCGGTGCCGCTCGATAGTTTGACTCGGGAGTCAAACTTTCAGTTGTAACAAAATAGATCGCCGGACAATTTTCCCCCTTCCCAAATCTGGCTGCCCAAGTGAAACGAAAGGTATTTATACACGTTCCATCAGCCGCACGACTTTCTGCGAGTTCATAATTTCAGCCGGATTGGACCGGTTTCAACTAAACTAAAGCTACAAATAGTTTCAGTTGTCTCGTCGCAGCTTGCTGCAACCAACCAATGCTGTTGAACTGTCCGATGTTGAGAGGTAAGGGGCTATAAACAGTTAGGTAAGGGTCCTAGTTCGATCTAGACTAATGTGATACAGGAGGCTTTCGGTTTGCGACGGTCCTATTTACGGGTGAACCACATTCACGGCGTTTGTATAATGCCATCATGGATCGATGTACGATGCGCGGGACTCGATTCACGCCGTGGGGGACTCGATTTACGAACTTTGACGTGATTTACGACGATGTGGACTCTATTTACGACACGTCTTTCCGACACGGCTCCGAACGCGTTTGAACAGAACCGTCGGTCCAGTTTTTCCGGCGCCACTTGGCGTGGAGATTATTGTTATTCCCCGAGTGTTTTTTGTGGATGTTTACCGATGACATGAACCCCGTTATTAAGCACGGCCGATAAAAGGAAATGAAAGACATCGGCAAGTGGCATTTCTACTGTTTCAACTGTTTATCGGTATATAGGGTTCCGATTTATGACGATCCGATTTGCCACCATGGGCTTTACAGGAATGTATGAAAAAATAAGAATAGGTTTTAACCTTTCTGGCAATAAAACAGGTGTTAAGGTGTGCAAATACCAAATATAAACATTTAGCAAGGAATCAAGTTCACATCAAGTTCGCATTAACCACACGTACTTGTGGTGAACATGCAAACAAACATGCTCTGATAATTTACAGGAATGCCTTGTGACGTCAATAAAGCGGAGGTTGAGCCGCCTGTACATAACGCAAAAATTAATTATCATCAGTGTCTGTTTGTCCCCTCTCTCATTACCGGAGGGACGAAAGACAAAGATCCCCCGTGTAGCCTTAACAGACTGTTGGGGCAAGTGCTGTTAGCGAGCACCGATGAAGGCTGGCACGGTACACGAGGGGGTGGGTGGCCAGCGGCAAGGCCCAACCGCCATTGTCTCTCCGGTGGTGATGTTTACACACTGCACCAGGTACTCATTTGAGGCTGAGTCGACCTAAGGGAGGTCCAGGACTGGTTCAGATAATCATCACCGGTGTGGGCCACGAGCGGGAAGCGAACTCGGGTCGCCGGCTTCGTAGTGCAGGGCGCTAACCGCTACGCTACCGCTCCCCACAGGGACGGACACACGCACATGAAGGAGGCGTTATTATCTGCTGCTTATCTAACCGCGTTGCTGGCTGAGGATATGTCCATGACGACGCTGGCGATCGTTTGGGGGAAATCGCGGCCGGGAGGGTGCACCGTTTTGATTTCGCTTCCACCCCCTCCCCCCTCTTTGTTTGCACAGCGGAGGAGGCGGCACGAGCGCTGCGCGTGCTGAGCAGCTCGAAGGCCCCGGCGGTGAAGAAGCGGCAGGTCATGCAGGCCGTGTTCGGTGACTACCGCAAGAAGATGGCAAGCGACAGGGCCAGGCACATCCGGAGCATGGAGACCGGTGAGGGGAGCACACAGCCTCCGTCGGCCTCTCTTGCGACATTCTTGAGAACGACGATGATTTGTTGCTGATGTTAATCCATTTATTTGGTCTTCTTCTCCTTATTCTCTTTCTTCCCTTTTTCTTTCGTACGACTGCTAATGTAGATGCTGTCCCTACTCATTTCAAATGACATTGGGGAATCTTTGACGCTCACTGTGAAGCAGACAGCGCGTAGTGTTTCATGGTTAAAACGCAGCAAGTTGGCACAGTGGGAAGCATAGCTGGTGCATCTGCCAGTCATCTCAGTCAGTCAATCCATGGCACCTGGGTCTGTCCCGTGACTTCTTGCCGGCAGCGAGCCTTCGACACTTCACGTGGCCTCAAAGTGCACCTGGCCTAGCACAGGCGCTGTGGCGACGTCACCGCTGCTGAGTGGCCAATGGCGGGTATTGGCCGTGTGTGTTTTTTTCTGCCGACAACCACGGGACACACGGGCAACCAGGACCCCCCGTCGTGCCTCCTGTGGCCCCCCAGAAAACACATCTCCATTTTTATACGCTCGATAATTTAAGTACGGTAATTGCGTTCGTAAACCTCTCGCCTGGCGATCCATCTTAAAATTTACAATCCTGCTTATTAAAATCGCTTTCAGTAACTGTGGTCACGTTGGCTGCACAACTCATCTTAAAATGAAATATATTAAATAATTAAAAGTTCAAGGGACTGCGTTGGTGGTGTTGCACGAGGGGGTGATTAACAACACCTTTTCAGGAGGAAAATACAAAATGGGATAAAGTTTCAGCGAGCACTTCTTACTTTGAAGCAGTGGTTCTTAACCTGGGGTGGAGGCTGCTTTGAAGGAGGGCCGTTGGGCAATCTCGGGAAGGCAGCGGCTGTGGGGACCTGGCGGAGGGTGGAGGTAGCTGGTGAAGTGCGGTGGCGTTGACGGCTTTGGCGACTTCAGCTCAGTTTTGAGCCAAACCTGAGCGCACACTGTCTAGACTGAGGCAGTTACTGAGCCTTTCCACCACTACCTGTGGATACAGATTTGTAAACAGGTGGCGAATATTGATTCGATGTCAACCGAAGCGATTTTTGTCCAGGAGAGCCAAACAAAGACAACGGAGGCTTTACGGTGATGCGCTGTGTTAACGCTCACGTCTTCATCCTAGACGTACCCACAACGTTACTTTACACTCCTAAAAATACTGCACTCAACACGAGGGTACAGCAGTAAACTTAAACACAAATGACACAGGGTACAATAATATACAGTACACGATAAAACATCACCAAAATACCGTACATAAATAATACATTTCTATATACGGGACACACAAAGCGGTTCCGTGTACAGGGTAGCAGTGGGTGGACTTGAAGGCTGAGAAGTGACGGATACGAGACAGAATGGACGACGACGCTGTAAGCGACGTGAGCGTGTAGGGGTTGAGGTGACACTATTCGGGTAGCGGTGTTCATAATCATGCGACAACGGATTTGCGAAATGACATAAATGGGGGAGACATAAATCGGGCTATCACTGTAGACAAGTTTCCTATGTTCACAAGTACCTTTTTCAGTGCTGCCCAGTAGCGTTACACTAAATATGGATGAAATAATAAAAAAAGGATATATTAGTACGACGCAGACATAATTAAATGCTGTGTCGCATGGCGTGATGCGATTCAGGGTAAGTGAAACGGTGATGTTATTTGCGCTGGTGCAAAGGGGAAGTTATTTGGAGTAATTCTCATAGATGAAGTACATGTTTTATAATTAATTCTTCCCAAAAAAATCTGCTGAATCATTACACCAATAACGATGAGTAGGAGATGGAAAATGCGTGTTCTTTTAAAGGCAATATACGTGGAGTTTTTTAATCTCCCAAAGAAGCTGATGTCCAGAGAGCAGCATTTGCATGCCCATGTTGGCAACATTTATATGGGCATATTGGCTATGTATCTATCTATCCGTACACATTACATTTGAAGTGGGTTCAATTGAGGCGCACACTCAACTTGGAGTCAACACTATATATTGACGCATAACAACCAACGAGAACGTTATTCATAGGGTGGTGACCACCGTTCCTAATCTCACTAACACTCGGGGAGTATTACACAGCATGACCAGGGCAGGTGACGGGTTGCCTGGTCACGAACGACGATCGGAGACTCGAGGACCGCTGATGGCGTCTTCATCCCAGGGTTGAACAGCCCAGCTCTCTGTTCACATCCCGCTTATAACACCCGTGGCTTTTCCAGCTCTGCCCTAGGCCACTCCCCCCTTCTCGATCCTTCGGGAAGGTCTGGGCCCCTAACCACGCGACCCCCAAGCTGGGGCCCCGAGCCCCCCTTTGCCCGGTCACGTGTCCTGTTGGGTACACGCAGAGTGTCACGGCCTGAAACGACCTCCGTGACACCCGCCTACAGCACCCGTACCGAGCCAACACAGTCGTGATGTCATACGTCCCTACGCTCGTACGGTCCCGACACAGTAGTGACGTCGTATGTCACTACACATCATTTAAAAGCGGTAGGTGTCCGTTCATCTTCAAGCGGAGAGTCGGAGCCCTTGAACCTTGCCGACTTTCAGTGTTCACTCGGTTCTGGGATCGCCGAGTGGGATATGAAAGGGCTGTGAAAGAATATTGTCTGCTTTCAAATCTGTAGCCAGGAACTATCGGCTGTCGTCTTTTTTTGAATTGCCTTCTTATACTGCTTTGGCATGAATAGACACTAATTAAATTTAAACCAAATCGTTTGCACTTTTTTGGGTGGGCTCATTTAACATAACCACTTTCTAGTTATTCATGAACCCTTGATGAATAAAATATCAGTGCTTTATCAAGTACCGTTAAGACGAATGATGCACTTAATGCAACAAAAATAATATACATGAGGACTCTGATGTATACAGGGTGCTTAAAAAATGTTAACACTTATATGGGAGAGAAACAAACCTAGTAAACTTAGAAATGTAATGCAACACAGCGCAGAAAGTCGACTGACACAACAGTCAACACCCTACCTGGTTAATTACGTCCAAGAGAGAGACAAGACACAGAGCCGGAGACACATACACAGACACACAAGCGGAAAGAGTTAACACAGAGACACAGAGAGAGAGACACACGCATGGGCACACAGAGAAACAACGTCTCTGTGTCGAGGCCTTAAATAGCTAGAGAGGGGGTACAGAGAGAGAGGGGGGGGTTAGAAGAATTAGCATGTCAATGGGAGATCCCGCAATGAGAGATCCACCGACAACGCTGGAGGAGAGAGCAACAACCGAGGGGAGACAGAGAGAGACGAAGGCAACACTAAATCAAACTAACTTAGTAAAATTTGGAAATGTAATGTAATGCAACACAGAGTCGGTCAACACACAATTAACACATGGCCTGGTCGATTACGCCACTCCAAAGATTGCTAAATTAGAAGTTAAGTGTGAAATTTGGGAGAGAGACAAGGCACAGACATGGAGACACAAAGACAGACACACAAGCAGAGAGAGACAACAGAGACACAGAGAGAGAGGAAAAAACAAACTTAAAACCTCCCCGTAGAGGTGGTGCAAACTTGATTTGGCGCTTTCGTGACTGCAGGAATTATTCTTTGGTTCTTTCGGTAAAGTCACGTAGAAATAGAAAATAATATCAAACGACGTTTCGATTGCAAAGCAAGCAATCATCATCAGGTACAAATGAAAGAGAAACAAACCTTGTAAACTTAGAATTATAATCAGCACACTCCAGGGAGGGTGTTGACTGCGCTGTGTTGCATTATATTAACTTATATGGGATTAGAAGCTTTCATGACTGCAGGAATCCATACTCTCTGGTTCTTTCGGTAAAGTCACGTAGAAAAAAATATAAAATGAAAGAAAACACGACGTTTCGGTCGCAATGCAAGCGTCTGTCTTCATGTGAGGAAAAATAATTTGCTGTTGTGGCTTTATATAGGCACACAAAATCCGTGATTTGATCCCATCAGTGAAGGATGCGATGGTGTCTATAAACTGAGTTGTGTCTGCGGCAGGAGTTACATTGGTGAAACGAAGCGACAGACCTGGTTCGCGATCACAAAGCGGATTTGAAACACGGCATAACCAACTCCTTGGCGGTGGCGGACCATTGTTTCAATGCTGTGGGCACACATGACATTGTTTTCTCTGAGACCAAGATGCTCTGCAAACCCTCGGGCCACCTTCAGAGATTTGTTCATGAAGCCACCCAGATATACAAACACAGACAAAACTTTAATCGAGAAGATGGATTCAGATTGAGCAATCATTGGAAGGATGTGAAAAACTACGTCAAGTTTTAACTGCTGTGATTTTCACTCACCCACCCGTTTGTCGTCGTCCTCTCTCACCCACCCGGTCGTCGTCGTCCTCACTCACCCACCCGGTTGTCGTCGTCCTTACTCACCCACCCGGGTGTCGTCGTCCTCATTCACCCACCCGGTTGTCGTGGTCCGATTACGACTTGTACTACAAGTCCATTTACTTGCTAATTTCTCTAGCCCCACCCGTCCCTGCACGCCACAAACCCTCCCCCCTCTCCCCTGTGAACTCCCACAGCCAAACTCCTTCCCCCCCCTTCCCTCTCCCCTGCCATGCCTATATAAAGCCACAACAGCAGGTACATTTTTTTCTCACCTGAAGATGGACGCTTGTGTGTTGACCGAAATGTGTTTTCTTTCATTTTATTATTTTTTCTATCTACGTGACTTTACCGAAAGAACCAGAGAGTATTCTATGGGACTATCGTTATTAATGGAAAAATAACGGATATCTTTATTTACACGGAGCTCTCTTAAGGCTTTTGCTTCGTTACAGCTAATATCTACTTTTGGCAGATGCTATATTGGACAGACGGGACGTAACATCAGCGTAAGACTAAAAGAGCACCAAAGAAATATTAAATTATCTCAAACACAACTGTCGGCAGTGGCAGAACATGCTTGTCAACAAGGACACTCAATTGATTTTGATAACGTTGAAGTGTTGTGTTA